GCTCTCTGCTGTTTCCTAGGAAAGCAGTAGAGGATAACCCGAGTCCTTGGGCCTCTGTACCCATGTGGGAGACCTGGAGGAGGCTCCTAGCTCCTGGCTTCGGATCGGCACAGCTCCAGCCACTGCGGCCATCTGGGGAGTGAACAGCAGGTGGAGGATCTTTCTCTCTCTCTCTGCCTCTCCTCTCTCTGTGTAACTCTTTCAAGTAACTAAATAAATCTTTAAAAAAAAAAAAAAAGATATTTTTTTAAAGAGTAAACACGGCTGGGCTGGTGCTGTGGCACAGGGGGTTAAGCCACCACCTGTGATGCTGGCATCCCATTTGGCCTGGGAAAGCTGCAGAACATGTCCAAGCTTGTGTGAGAGACCCAGAGGCCCAGAGGGAACTCCTGGCCCCTGGCTTCAGCCTGCCCCCAGTGGCCATCTGGGAGGTGAACCAGCAGATGGTAACTCTGCCTTTCAAATAAATCAATAAACCCTTTTTTAGAAAAATAATAAAGGTGGAGAGTACACGGTTATTTTGCTCACACTCAGTCCCTCCCTCCCTCCATCAACCCCCCTCCCCCACGCACAATTTCCAGCTTCGGGGTTTAGTACTGGACTAGAGGGGAGGGCCTGACTTACGCCCGCGCGGCCGCTTACTCCCATGGTGTAGTTCCCACTGATCTCAGCAGGGGGAGCCATTGAGCGGCCTTCACGGGGCAGTTTAAAAACCTAAACCCGAAGGACCGCAGAGAGGGCGAGCAGAGGGACCTCTGCCCTTGCTGGAGCGCTCTGGACTCCCCTACGTGGGGAGAACCCAGGCCCCACACGGGAAGGCGTGCGGCTGGGGTAGGAGGGACCTGTAGGCCGCGCAGGGCCTCGGTTGCGCGGGAAGAGCCCTGCGCTTGGAGTCCGGAGCCTGGATGAAGCCCGGCTCTGTGATTTCTAGCCCTAAACTTTTTACCTGTCACTTAACTTTTCCAAGACTCAATTTCCTCGTTTATGTCACAGGGACAGTATTGACAAACGGGATCTTAAAAGAAAAAAAAAACACTAATTTATGGCGCTCCTACTCTATGCTGTCACATGTTAATAATTCCAGGTTTTTAAAAATGTTTGTTTATCTGAAAGGCAGAGAGACAGAGAGAGAGCTTCCATCCTCTGTTCACTCCCCAATTGCCCACAGCAGCCAGGGCTGGGCCAGGCGGAAGCCAGGACCTGGGAGTTATTCTGGGCTGACTCACGGGCAGCTCCCCTGAGGTCCAGAGAGGACTAAATGGGAAGCCACTTTGCAGATTGCTACGTGCTTGACAAAATCAAGAGATTAGTCTTATTCAGTGGACTGTTTGCTTATCTGTGGCACAGGCTTCCTGACCGCATTTGTAGAGTGTCAGTGAGCTAATGCATGGGGGAGCATTCCTAAGAGGTAAAGGCCCTACCTGGTCGAAGCGTTATTTCTATTTCTCCCATCCTCTACTTCAAGCCTGACATTAATATTGCTGACAGGAGGGGGGAGGCAGGGGGACATGGGGGACCCAGGGACTCTGTGTCCCCGTAATTAAACATGTCGGGACTGAAGCGCTGCCAGCAGCCGCATCTGGTTGCAATTACCAGAGGGGACCGAAGTGATTAGTCACCTTTATTGTGAGAGCCAGGCAGGAACCCTGCGCTCCTCCCGGGAGAGGGCCTTCTACCCAAGGCCGGCACCCTCTTTCCCTGCTCCCACCCGTTCCTGGGAGCTGCCTGGGCCTCAGACAAGAGCCTCTGCCCTGAGACTTCTCCAGCATCCCCAGTGTCAGCCTGTCCGTGAGACCTTGGCTGAGAGTCAGGAGCACTGTGCCTTCCTCCCCATCCTGTCACTGCTTTTTCCTGTGTCACGTGCTCAGGGGGCCAGGCTAGGACTGCTGGGGGCGCTGTGGCGCAGGGGGTTAAAGCCGCGGCTTGCAGTGCCAGCAGCCCCTGTGGGCGCCGGTTCTGGCTGCTCCACTTCCGATCCAGCTGTCTGCTATGGCCTGGGAAAGCAATGGAGGATGCGCCCGCATGGGAGACTCGGAGGAAGCTCCTGCTCCTGGCTTCGGATCGGCTCAGCTCTGGCCATTGTGGCCTTTTGGGGGCTTAACCAGCAGATGGAAGATCTCTCTCTGGCTTTACCTCTCTCTGTAACTCTTTCAAATAAATAAAATAAATCTTAAAAAAAAAAAAAAGAAATCAAAGCCAGAGTCTAATTGACTGAAGCACTCAAAAAGTGACAACTATTATTGCTATTCACCAGGTGCTAGCTAGAGCAACCACTTTTATGATTCATTTCACCAACCCCCCCCCCAAAAAAAAAACAAAAAAACCCTGCAAGGTTAGTGCTGTCATTATCCCTGTTGGGAGTCTCAGGGAGGTTGAAGTCATTTCCGAGCTCCCGGTACGTGCATAGCAGAACCAGGATTCAAAACCAGGTCTGTTTGTCACCAGAGCCCTCTCTTTGTGAAGCCAGGTATTAAGACGTCTTGGTTGTTCTAGTCATTCATCCCTTCATTTATCCACTTGTTGGAACTTACAAAATGCCCATGGTTTGGCAAGACAGACTCCTTCCCTTTAAGTAAACCAGTGCCCAGCAGGGAAGGTACAATATGTCCACAAGTTACTACCTTCTAAAGTAGAGAGTGATGGCTTTTGTATAAAAGGGCCAGTTAGAGATTCATTCACTGGTACAACATATACTGAAAATCTGCTCTGTGCTGGGCCCCACGCCAAGCACTGGGAATAATTGAAATATAAATATGGTACAGTCTAGTCATAATCAAATGGGGGAGACATATAAATAAATTATTATAGTTACAAGGAATTAAGTTATGATAAAAATATGAGAAACATACCCGGAGTAGAAGAAATGACCAGTGTTGGAGATGGGGGTGGGAGCAGAGGCTGGATGAATGGAAAGGTGGCAGTTCGGAAGGCGTGTGCCTTTTCTGGAGCATGAGGGCAGGCTTCACGGAGGAGGCAGCACATGAGTTGGCACTTGTTCAAAGGGTAGGCAGAGGGAGGGATGACCTAGGAGATCCTGCGGGTCTGGAAGCCACTTACGAAGGAGTTACGAGTTTGGACGGAGAATAGGGACAGTGATGGGGACATGGAGGGTGGAGGGGCGGGGAGATGTGTGCCAGAGAGGCCTGGGTAAGGGACTGAAGCCAAGCCAAGTGACTGGAAGAGAGGTGGCTGCCCTCCGTCGAGCTCCCCAGAGAGAGCCTCCGAGGTGGGGAGGGGAGCTCTATTGTCTTTTCTGACCTCAGAGCCCCAGATGCAGCTCGGATGGCCAAAGTGTGCTGTTGTGCTCTGAAGATCAGTGAGGGCCCAGGGTCCACCAGGCGAGGACCGCTGGGTGCCGGCACACCCCTGCAGACATCACAGAGCTTCTGAGACCTCAGAGTCTCTTAGATTAAGAAGGATGCCATGGAACTCCTGGCCAGTGTTGTTGCAGTGAGGTGGACACGAGGGAGTGATTGGCTCTGTCTGGAGATCGAGAAAGGCTTCCTGGAGGAGGTGAGATGTCAGCTAGACTTGTCAGGATGAGGAGGGCTTCCTTCATTGTGGGAGAGGAGGACATTCTAGGTGAAGGGAACAACTCTTACCCCACGATTCTGGGGCGAGTTGCCCATGGCCTCTAAGGGACTGGCTCCCGAGCGAAGGGGGCTTCCTGGCTTCCAGGAGGCACTTTAAGAAACCCCAAGTCCAGCTGGAATTGGGACTTGTAGAGCTACCAGAAACGCATGGAGGAAACCACTTTTCTAGCCTCCTGCAGGGGCCGCTGCTGCCCCAGGCTGGGGCCGTAGCCTCTGGACTCAGCCCTCCTGCTCGAAGGGAACTCTGAGGAGGTTGGGGGCTGCGGGGACCTGTCTCCGTCCACACAGCGGGCTCCAGGGTGCCAGTGCCCCCAAGCCTGAAGAACTCACCTGTGCTCCGTCAGTGGCATTCGGTGGGGAGTGCAGCGGGCACCAAGATCTTTCTCTCTCTCTCTCTGGGTCACCTCAAGTTTATTCAAATAAAAGAAACTGTAGGTAAATGCTGCCATCTGTGCTACCTCCCCCCAACACACACACACACACACACACACACACACACACACACACAGAACAAATCAGGCCCAGGACTACATGCAGGGGTTGAAACTGCCTTAAAAACATGGCAAGGACTTACTGAAAACCCACACTGCCCGTGTTTCTGGGGCTTAAGATCTTTGAGCTCATTCCCGGGCATGCCTCTGCAGGCAGGTGGGGTGGGCTGCTCCGTGAAGTGCACATGAGGACCCCTGAGTCTGCTGGGCCGACCGGGAGCCCCCTAAGCCGCAAGTCCCGCTGTGGGGCTCTGTGCCAAGAGCCCCCGTGAGCCAGGGCCTGCAAAGGGCAGCCGTGACTTTTTTCACATAAATATATCGTACTTAAATGAGTTTAGACAGCATGACATCAGAGAGTAATTAAATTGGTTTGGGTTGGAATTCCGTTTCCAATTCCTGAGTTCAGGTTTGTAAAAGATTTTTCTGAGCACCTGCAGGCCTCTGTGTATGTGTGTGTGTATGTGTGTGTGTGTGTGTGTGTGTGAAGTATTTTCACTGGAAAGGATTCAAAACCAGGGGGGGAGGAAAAAAAAACTGGAGCACACAGGCAGCATTACGCCATTCTTCCTTCTTGGAAAAATCCCTCAGTCTTATACAAGCCTCCTTCAAGCCCTCAGTCAGTTGTGCAGGAGAAAGGGGGCGGTCGGCTTTCTCCTTTCAAGAACGAGTTATTTTCAGCTGCTGACTGGAGACGGTGCACGTCTGGATCCGCAAGCATTTCCACGATGGGACTGGACACAAACACACGCCCGGCAGACTTCAGGAGTCTCAGACTGAGAGCGCCGTCCCTGCTGCCGCTACTGCCGCCGCCGCTGCCTTTGAAAGTCCACTCCTTTCATGGTTTTTCCTGCCAAGCCAGAGGCTCCTTCGCTGCTGCCGCCGTTCTCTTTGGTGTCATCCAGCGGCTGGCCAGAGGATGAGACTCCCCACACTCCTCACTCTCTTGCTTTGGCACCTGGCTTGGCTGGACCTGGAATTCGTCTGCTCTGTGTTGGGTGCCCCTGACTTGGGCCAGAGACCCCCGGGGCCCAGGCCAGTGTTGGCCAAAGCGGAGGCCAAGGAGAGGCCCGCGGTGGCCCGGAGCATCTTCAGGCCCGGGGGTCACAGCTATGGTGGGGGGGCCACCAATGCCAGGGCCAAGGGAGGCACCGGGCAGACGGGAGGCCTGACCCAGCCCAAGAAGGATGAACCCAAAAAGCTGCTGCCCCCCAGAACGGGTGGCCCTGAACCCAAGCCAGGACACCCTCCCCAGACCAGGCAGACTGCAGCACGAACTGTGACCCCAAAAGGACAGCTTCCCGGGGGGAAGGCACCCCCAAAGGCAGGATCTGTCCCCAGCTCCTTCCTGCTGAAGAAGGCCAGGGAGCCCGGGCCCCCTCGAGAGCCCAAGGAACCGTTCCGCCCGCCCCCCATCACACCCCACGAGTACATGCTCTCGCTGTACAGGACGCTGTCCGATGCTGACAGAAAGGGAGGCAACAGCAGCGTGAAGTTGGAGGCTGGCCTGGCCAACACCATCACCAGCTTTATTGACAAAGGGCAAGGTGAGGGGGTGGGGTGGCAGGGGTGCGACTCAGAGGGAGGGGCAGCTGCATGCATGGCGGGGTGGGAGAGGGGGCCTTGCACGGGCTGCACTGGGGCAGGACGGTGTGTGCACCTGGCCTGGGGTGGGGTGCCTGACTTCTTTCTCTCTTACACACACACACACACACACACACACACACACACACACCCAGGTCCAGGCTGCTGGCAGGTCATTGCTGGAAGGCGACTAGTGATCGCCAGATCCACTTCCTGCAAGGTGCAGAGAGGCGCACTGGAGCCGGGAGAGGGGATGGAGCTGCCCGTGAGGGGCAGATCGGAGACCAGACTCCGAGAGTCTTGACTACCAGGCCGTGCTCTGTGTCTGGGGGGGGCTGGCCAGATTTTGCAGGCTCCTGGAGTTTGTAGATTTTCTCACTGGGTGGAGAGAGAGCTGAGTCTCCCGGTCACCGAGGCTCTGCAGCTTTGCTCTTGGGCTGAGGGCAGAGGAAGCCGGGGCATCTTGCAGTTGTGGAAGGATGTCTGGAGACGTGGGGAGACTGCAGACCCAGGGTCTAACTCGCAATGTGACCCTGAGAAAAAGGCCCTTCTCACGGCAGGCTCTGTTCTCCCACATGCACACCCGTTTGGGCGGTGGGCTGTGTGATTTCTGAGTGCCCCTCAAAAACTGAAACCAGATCATTTTCATCCTGAACCTGGGGGAACACCTGCTCCCCTCACTTCTCCCTCTGCCCACCTCGTGTCACTGTTGCAGCTCTTCTTCTAACTCACTGTGTGAGCTCAGCAAGTCTCCCTCTCCGGGCTGGCTGCAGCGTCTCCCTAGTGTGAGAAGGGGGGGTGGGCCGCTGATCGCTCGGGTTGCTTGCAGCTCCTGGGCTCTGGTTCAGAGTTTGAGGGGCTTTGGCTGGCAGGGTGGGGGAGGGGACAGAGATTGGGAGAGGTTCCTCATTAGAGCTGGCCTGTAGGGGAAGCACAGGGGTGGGGGTGCGGGTGGCGGGGGTGAGGCACAGAGGCAGCAGGTCTGGCTGAGGTGGGGGGAGGTGGCCTGGCTGCCTGCCCAGCCAGGGAAAGCTGTGACCCCTTGGGGAATCATAAAATCAGTCCTTGTGCCCCCCAGCACTAACGGGGGCTTCGGGAGGGGGAGATGGGGAGTTTAAAGGCCTAATTAGTCACCTAGAGCAATATATGAATGTTCCCCAATGGCAAATTGGTATTTAGGAAGAAGGGTATGCCGATTCAGAGATACTACTAGCTTCACACACACAGTTTGGATTTATACATGCATGCGGAATCACACACACACACATACACTCACATACCTCTTTATACACACAATTCTCACATGTAAGTATACATGTAAGAACTGACCTTTCAGATAGTCACACAAGCCCAATGCAACACACTTGTAACATGTCACTCACACACCCGAGGGTGCGTCTAAAAGTTTTTAAAAATGGAATCGAAAGACATGTATTTTTGGTGCAAACATTTTGAAACTCATGCGTACTCAGCCATGATCTTTCCTATTCAGAATAAACCCAGTCACACACACATACAAACCGTCACACACTCACACATGCCGCAGAGCAAGACATATCCACAAAAGCCTGGCAAGCTGAGTTATCCACAGCTTTGTCGGTAACTCTGTGTGACCTTAGTCAAGTCGCCCCGCATGCCTGTCCCTCATCTACAAAGCGAGAACACCCAGATCTCCTCCAGGAGAGTGTGAAAGCAGCTCAGATCGGGGATCAAAAGCTTCCGGCTAGCGTTCCAACCCTGGCTGGGTTTTCTCAAGCAAGCACCTAACTTCTCAGAGCCGTAGGTTCCTCCGGAAAAACAAAGGTGATTTTAATGTCTGCTCTGCCAGTCTGATAACTGAGCTATCCTGTTACATGATGGATAGGAGAGGGAGAGAGGCAGAAGGCAGCTCCAAGGCTGGCGGATCGTTGACACATGTAGATCATTGGCACAAACCACCCCCAAATCACTCAAGGCAACCGCAGCTACATTTGCAGACAAACACCAGACCTTGGTTGCCTGTGGGAAGCTCCCTCCTTTTGAAAACGGTTGTCAGTGCTCTGGGTCTTGGCCTCTGTTGGAATGGGGAAGAGGTTAAAGAGAGCTCTCTCATAGGGGGGAGAGAGAGAGAGAGCGAGTGAGTGAGCGAGCTGGGGTGCTCCCGTGGGGCCTCGAGGTGACTGGCTCCCCGAGGTGGGGGATGCAGGCAATGACTTCTGGGTGTTCTCTCTAGATGACCGAGGGCCTGTGGTCAGGAAGCAGAGGTACGTGTTTGACATTAGTGCCCTGGAGAAGGACGGGCTGCTGGGGGCTGAGCTGCGGATCTTGCGGAAGAGGCCCTCAGACACAGCCAAGCCAGTGGCCCCCGGCAGCGGGCGGGCTGCCCAGCTGAAGCTGTCCAGCTGCCCCAGCGGTCGGCAGCCGGCAGCCTTGCTGGATGTGCGCTCCGTGCCAGGCCTGGACGGCTCTGGCTGGGAGGTGTTCGACATCTGGAAGCTCTTCCGAAACTTTAAGAACTCGGCCCAGCTATGCCTGGAGCTGGAGGCCTGGGAACGGGGCCGGGCCGTGGACCTCCGTGGCCTGGGCTTTGATCGGACTGCCCGGCAGGTCCATGAGAAGGCTCTGTTCCTAGTGTTCGGCCGCACCAAGAAACGGGACCTGTTCTTTAATGAGATCAAGGCCCGCTCCGGCCAGGATGATAAGACCGTGTATGAGTACCTCTTCAGCCAGCGTCGGAAACGGCGGGCACCCCTGGCCACTCGCCAGGGCAAGCGACCCAGCAAGAACCTCAAGGCCCGCTGCAGTCGGAAGGCACTGCACGTCAACTTCAAGGACATGGGCTGGGACGACTGGATCATCGCACCCCTTGAGTATGAGGCCTTCCACTGTGAGGGGCTGTGCGAGTTCCCCTTGCGCTCCCACCTGGAGCCCACGAACCATGCGGTCATCCAGACCCTGATGAACTCCATGGACCCAGAGTCCACACCCCCCACCTGCTGTGTGCCCACGCGGCTCAGTCCCATCAGCATCCTCTTCATTGACTCTGCCAACAACGTGGTGTATAAGCAGTATGAGGACATGGTCGTGGAGTCCTGTGGCTGCAGGTAGCAGCACTGGCCCTCTGTCTTCCTGGGTGGCAATCCCAGGAGCCCCTCCTTGCACTCCTGGAATCACAGAGGGACCGGGAAGCTACAGCCAGGAGCATCTACACACAGCCAGTGAGAAAGGGGAGCCCCAGAGCCTCACTCACTCCCTGAGTGCAACTGGGGCTCGAGGTCTCCTCCTGTCCCTGAGTCCTCCTGTCTGCCCTTTCAGTGACTGGCAGGGACAGGCCTGAGGGACAGTGTTTCCCAATGAGACTCAGCCTTCCATCTCTCCTCACCTGGGCCCCCCAGGCCCCTGGACCTTCCAAGGAGGTCTGATGCTATCCTAAGCACTTCTGGGGAGAGCCACAGGTGCCACTTCCTGGTTGAATCACCTTTGTGCCCGGTGACTTTCTGCTCCTGGAGCAGATAAAATGCTGATTGGGCAGGGGTGGGAAAGAGGGGGAGAGGGCTTAGGTGGGGGTGAGGAGTTAGACTGTTAGATTAAAATGTACATGGATTTGATAAAAAGCAAAATTGTGCCTAAAACTGCGGCAAGTTTCTTGTTTACTCCAGGGATCCATAACCCCCTCTAAGAATTCCTGATCCAGGGACAGGGGAGGGGTGACCTCGAGTCTATACTTGGTTTCCAGGGCCTTGGCCCCACCCTCACTCCTGGAAACCAAAGCAGAATGGGGCACAGAGTGCGGCTGCTCAGGGCCAAGGCCTCACCTCTAACCCCATTCCTGTTCCTTCCAAGGCCTGCTGGTCCTGAGTTCCATGTGCTCCGCTGGGGCCTGGCAACAGTTAGGTTTTCTTTTTTGACATTCCTTAGCCAAGTTTGTTGTCTCTGAGACGATCCCTAAAATGGGAGGGACACTGGGAATTTCACCTGCTTTAAAATCATTCCCACCTCGTTCTCACCAGCATCTGCCCTGCCCTGCCCTTCCCCCCCCTCCACAGAATTAACTGGGCACCCTCTCAAGGACCCTCCTGCAGACTCTGGCCACCGAGCCTCCTCGCCTGCTCCTGCCGCTCCTTTGTGCCACTGACCACTGTTCCTCCAATGACCTTGTCTGTGGCCTTCTGCCCTCCCCCTGAGCACCCTTCCTGCTCACCCAGAAACTGACTGGGTGCTTCCGCCCCTTAAGGTATCCTTTATATAAATATGTAATCATACGTTAGATAAATAACCTCCCCGCTAACCTCACACAGACCAATGCTGGGCACCTCCTGACAATGTTTCCTGCCTGGGGCTTGGCCCAGAGTAAATGCTGACTTCCTCCCCTCAGCTAGGATCTCTGTGGTGGCTTGGACATGAACTCTTGGGAGGGAACCCAGCCTTCCGGTGGGGGAATGTAGGCACCTGGGTCCTGGGGCTGAGGGCTCAGGGCCAGGCTCTACCTGGCTGAAGAGAGACACCGGGAGGACCACAAGAAGTCCAAGCCTCTGGTTCCCACCCAGGGGCCTCAAAGTTTTCCCCACGTCTCTCCAGCTGGGTCTTTGATTCCCAGGGCTCCTAGCCAAAGGCTCTCACCAGTAGGGATTCCAGGCCAGCTATGGGCAGATCTTGTGTCCCTTCCCTCTAGGCCTGAAATGTGGGTTGTCAGGACCTAGTGAGAGCCCAGTGCAGGAGGCAGCCTCTGTTTGAGCTGCCTGCTCGGTTTGGAGACCATTACCTGTCCCGGAGGGGCCAGACTGAGCTTGGAGCCGAGCCCTCCCTGGCCAGCCATGGTTGTGTTTGGCTGGTGGCAGGGCTGGGCGCTCTGGAAGTAAACAACAGAGCTGCCGTGGCAGACAGAGTCCTGGTGTGTATGAGGAGAATGAGTCCGGAAGGGAGGTGCTGGGGATACAGGGAGAACAGTGTGGAGGCTGCGAGGCCAGAAAGCTGGGGGCAGGGAGACAGGGAAGGAGGGGTCACAGGTAGTGCTGCCTTCCGCAGGCACTCACTTCCTGAGCTGCGTGTCCCTGGGGTCTTGGGAAGTTCCCACAGAGCCGGAGCTTCTCCTACCTTAGTCCCATCAGAAAGCTTCAGGTCTTTGGAGCTACAGTGCTTTTCTTGCTGCAAGCCTGGGCTTCAAATTGAGTCTTGTGACTCTGGCTTGACACCCTAGGAGCTTCCTCTCTCACCTCAACTTGCCCTAGAACTTTCTTTCACTGAAGAGCCCCTCACCCCTCAGACTGTGCATCTCCATCACCCCCCCCCCCCACTTCCTGGACTCTGGGGATGCCACCAGGTCAACCACTGGGTCTCGTTATGCTGCTCCCCTGGAAAACCTCCCCATCAGCTACCTGCCTCAGCCCCCATCACAGCAAGCTGCACACTTGTGCAGGTCATTTCTACACAAAGGGCACCACACACTGGAGTTTGCAAACCCTCTCCCATCCATGGCCGTATAGTTCTGAAGGGCTCCAAAGACCACGCCGCTTCAAATTTTGAAAAAGTTATATCACTTGGATGCCTTGGGCAAGTAACTCAATTAATTCCATGAACTTTGGTTTTGTTTGAAAAGCAAACAAAAGACATGAAAGTAAACAATATGTCCATTTTATGGAGCTAACTGGGAAGATATGCGAGGCACTCAACACAGTGGCAGGCACAGAGATTGCACTCAGTAAATGTTAGCTGTTATCATTGTTGTGCCTTAAACCATCTGCTGTGGTTTCAATACAATTTGCCCCCTTCGAAGCTTATATGGGAGTTTAACCTCCATTGGAGGTTTTATTAAGATGATGGAGGGGCCAGGGTCGTGGCACAGTGGGTTAAGCCGCCTCCTGCAAAGCCAGCATCCCATATGGTTCAAGTCTTGGCTGCTTCGCTTTGGATCCAGCTCCTTGCTAATGCACCTGGGAAGGCAGCACAAGATGGCCCAAGTCCCTGGACCTCTGCACCAGAGCTCTTGGCTTCAGCCTGGACCAACCCTGACCATTGTGGCCATGTTGGGGAGTGAACCAGCAAGATGGAAGATCTCTTTCTCTGTCTTTCCCTCTCTCCCAGTAATTCTGCCTTTCAAACAAATGAATAAGTACATTTTAAAAGAGAGAGAGAGAGAGAGAGAGAGAGAGAGAGAGAGAGAGAGAGAGACGGAGAGACGGAGAGACAGAGAGAGGAAACAATCCAACTCCGGTAATTAGAGGTGGGGTCTTCCCAAGGTGATTGGGATTAGACCAGATTGTGAGGGTGGAGCCCCATGATTGAATGCAGGTGGTTTTATAAGAAGAGGGAGAGCGAGAGCAGAGGACACGTATGCCTACACACTGAGTGCCCCATCTTTCACCCTGCAATGCCCTGCACTGCTCAGGGTTCTGCCAGGAAGAAGGCCAGCACCAGATGTGGCCCCTCAATCTTGGACTTCCAGAACTGTGAGCCAAAATAAATCTCTTCTCTTTAAAATGTACCCGATCTGTGGTGTTGTGTTCTTAACAGCAGGAAATGGAGTAAAACAAGGGTGCTTCAAAGAACTCAGAGAAAAAATGAAATGAAAAGATACGTTGATTTTGGTGCACCACAATTTTGAAATCCATGAAGAGTTTTTTCATAGTACATACTTTTTGTGAACCTTGTGAAGACACCTCACAAGTAGGGATTTCCAAAAAAAATTTCTTTTGGACCAAAATAAACCTATCTTTTAGTTTGATTTTTCATGAACTTTTGAAAGCGTCCTTGTGTGACCTGCTCCCCATTTTTACAGATAAAAAATCTGACACCCAGGGAGCGAGCAACAGAGTGGTAACTCCAGGTCTCCTGCAGGCCTCAGTATCCTTGGCACCCTTCTTGCTGCTCTTCTGGGTCCTTGACCCTAGTCTGGCAAGCAGCTGAATCTCTTCCCTGGGTCTTGGCTCCCCGATCTTCTTGGCTGCCTGATCTTTTTCCTGGTCTCCCACGTGGGTGCAGGGGCCCAACGACATGGGCCATCCTCAGCTGATTCCCCAGGTGCATTAACAAAGAGCTGGATCAGAAGTGGAGCAGCTGGGTCTCCAATCAGTTGCCATATAGGATTCCGGCACCACAGGCAGTGATTTTACCTGCTATGCCACAGCACGGTCCCCTGGTCTCTGATCTTCAAAGTAGCTCCTTGGGGACACACAAGGCTGTTTGTCTCTCAGGAGGAGCAGCTAGGCAGAGTTTAGGGCAAGGAAAATGAGAGGCCAACAGAGAGGAAGGAGGAGAGACTCCAAGACTCTGATCTCCATCTCTTGGCCTTGCCACATCGTCATGCCCCAGGATCACAACAGAGAATCAGCTTTTCTAGGGCTTGCCCTAGACTGCATTCTGATGCCACAACCAGTTCTGATTTGAAGCCAGATGTGAGAAGCCTGGTAGAGAAACGTTAGTCCGACATGTTGGAAATCAGGCAGACCTGGAATCTAGTCCTAGAATGTGACGTTGGACAAACGACTTAACATTTTTGAGCCTCAGTTTCCTGACATGTAGAAGATGGATACTCTCATATTTACTGGGCTGGGCTTGGGATTCAGGAGAGGGAATATTCATTCATTCCATCAATCTTTGATCCATTATTCATTCATTAATCAGTGAGTATTAAGGATACACTAGGGGCTGGCACCGCACCTCAATAGGCTAATCCGCTGCCTGCGGCGCCAGCACCCCAGGTTCTAGTCCCGGTCGGGCGCCGGATTCTGAACTGGTTGCTCCTCTTCCAGGCCAGCTCTCTGCTGTGGCCAGGGAGTGCAGTGGAGGATGGCCAAGTACTTGGGCCCTGCACCCGCATAGGAGACCAGGATAAGTACCTGGCTCCTGCCTTCGGATCAGTGCGGTGCGCCGGCTGCAGCGCGCTGGCCGCGGCGGCCATTGGAGGGTGAACCAACGGCAAAGGAAGACCTTTCCCTCTGTCTCTCTCTCACTGTCCACTCTGCCTGTCAAAAAAAAAAAAAAAAAAGGATACACTAGGGGCCAGATACTGCTGAGAGTTGGGATAAAAATAGCAACAACAGTTGTTAATGTTTGCCCAGGGCTTGTTGTGTGCCTGGTACTTGTTTTAATACTTTACAAGAATTCTCCTG